AGCGTCTAGTTTCAACAAGTAAGTCGTTTTTTTTTGTCCAACAAATGGATGGATGCAAGATAATTTTTGATAATACATCCGATAGGTTGAAATCTTACAGTATTAGCTTAGCGTACTTACTCTTTTTTACGTGACGCATGATTGCTTATAAAAATTCTCCGTGATGTAGTGTGATTGAAACCCGCCTTTGCCACCCTCAATTTAGGGATACTGGGTCTGACTGATCGTATGAAAATTGAAAATCGGAAGTTAGTTTTACTCTAATCAACAAAAACAAAAAAGTGATTGAATGATAAACCCTCATAGTCAATTGAAAACCATTTTTAAACATGTAAGAGTTGAGATAGACAAGTTCTATATAAAAAATATAGAGATTACTTCATGGAAATGCGCGCGTACGATTTTTACTCACGAGTTGTGTAGTATCAGAAAACGAACGAGTGAGCGCAGCGAACGAGTGAGTTTTCTGATACGTATCAACGAGTGAATGAAAATCGTACAAAGCATTTTCCATGCTGTAATGTGTTTATTTCATAGGTGCTGAGATTTTTTCGTGTTGTCTTTGGTAGACAAATAGCACAAATGGGGCGATGGAAAGCGTAAAAAGTAGTTTAAAAATTTCTCAACAACAAGTTTATTTATTCCCTTTTCCTTGCTTCTTTAGCTGCTTTTGCTTGGATTGAAGAACTTTTCTGGTTTCTCAAAGACCAAGTCGTTGATTATGCTGGCAGAATAGCCCTTTTTCTTCAAATGTCGTTCGAAGCTGGCCATTAAACTTCGAAGCGAAGTCGGCTCGTACTCGTTGCCATCTTTAGTGCGTACGGAGATAATAAATTCGCTAATGAATTCATTCAACTCAGCCGCTGGAATATCTTCAATTTTCCTGTCTTCGTCTTTCGTTTTCAAAACTCTTCCAAGCAATCTTACATCTCTTTCAGTTTTTTGAGCGGTATTTTTGTTTTCGTGTTCTAAAATGAATTCTTCAACTGAGTAAACAGAAGCGAACCTTCCCTCGGCCATTTTTCAAAGCGCGCGGGTTTTGTGCAACGGCTCTCTTCAGTACGTTCATTCATCATAAGTGAAATTTCGTCGTTCGCGTTGCTGATTGGACGAACGATAATTTTTCACGGTGAAATTTTGTCGTTCGTACTCCTGATTGGCTACATTTAGAATCAGTACCAATTTTATTCACTACGATTTTTGTGGGTAAATCTCAGTACCTATGAAATAATTATCGATTCTAAATCCTTTCATTTTATTTAATGATTGATTATCAGTGGATAATAACCCTAAAATATCTTGGTAGCTGTTTTTCACATTATGTCAACCTATAAGCGAAAGCAATTTGTGTCTAAAATACCCCTCACCCTAAGAAAACTTAATGCTCAAAAAAACGGGGTCTTTACCACACAGCTTTCAAAGTTACATTACACCAAAGCACCTAAATTCTTAAAACCACAAGATCGCATGTGATAAAATTTACTTGTCTTGATATAATTGTCAGTTTATTTGGGCTACAGGGTAAAAAGGTAACTTGCTTTCTGAATCAGACCATCGCCAGAAATCAAGGACATTTCGAGCCCGCTAACAATTATCAGCGGTATATCGTATTACACTCCGGAACAATAGAATATCAAGAGAATTCAATATGGCGGCGATCACGGCTCGATCTGCAAAGAAGAGTGTTTCGTACCATGACTTATACAATTTGAGCACCGCAGATCTTCTATTTGATGAAAAGAAAAAGAAAAGAAGGCCTGCAAGTAAATCTTTGGGATTTTTCGAGGCAGAGCGATGACATGATGTCAGAATTTTGATTTGCTTTAATTTAATTTTCGCGCTAAGACTACTGAATTTGCAATCAATGCCTGGCATATTTTTATTCCGAAAAGGACCGAGAACTAATTTATTTCCCTGCAAGAACATAAACAAATATGGCCGACGATTCGAAGATCAGCGTTGCTCGTGTTTAACTATTTTAGTCACAGTTTTCAACATGGCGTCTCGTCACTTACTCAACATAGAAAATAAGGGATATTCTGGCGCGTTGGGAACTTTTTTGATGGGAGGAAATGGCAATTTTACAGGATATTTGGACGCTTCGAACTCTGTAGCAGTCAATTCGATCGAGAGCAGTTGACTTTATTGATGCACTTTCCTGTAATAGGCGAGTGTTTGGGATGGAGAACGACGGATTTTGAAGAACTGTATGGCGACCCAGGTCAATGATCAATGACAAAAGAACTGGCTCGGGAAGTAAGTGGTTTTTATTTATCGAGTCCCTGTGAGGTTTGATGAATAGCAGAATCAGTACTGAATATGTCTCGATCGAGAGCAGACGGGACCATGAGCTCCTGATTGTTATATTTTGTTATATACAGTTTCTTATATTATTTGGACGCCATTATGGACGAAATGCGCAAGCGCGGCCGCCATCTTGTCCAATATTTCTGCCGATGGTTCGGAATTCCGAGCCAAATTTCCAGGATCCACTCTTAAATATTGCAATATGATGACGACGCTTGGTAACATTCAAGTATTCTTGCTCTAATATAATTTGCTTAAAATTACACATGACCACCGTCAATATCACAGATTTGTCTGAGTCGTAAAGTTTTTTTAATGCATCTGCACAGCTCCTACGATAAGACAGCTATCTTATTGCCAACGTTCTCTATTTATTGCGAGCAAGCGTTTGTGTATTTTAATTTATAACTTATGGTCCTTCTGTTTTCAGTTACCTTCACCGCTTAGCTGATTCCCTTCAGCAAAAACTTTAAGTCTCAGAAAAATTAGTAACATCCATTAAAGTGATGGCTGATAAACGACAGGCGAGCACCATAAAACAGAGAGACTTGGAACCTAAACTTGAAATTATTAGAACTAAAACAAGAGAACTGCAAGAACAGGTAAGACAGCAAAGTTTTTACTTTCAGTGGAATCTGTTGTGTTGTGTCGGCGGGCAAGCGAAGCACGAAGTTTGTTATCAATTTGGAAATAAAAATTAAAAGCCGTATACGTGTTGAGTTTCGACAATTTGACGTTTCAAGCAGTAGCCTGAATCGTCTGCCGGTGCAAAGGACTAAAGGCTAGCGTGCGCTAACCATTCGAAAGTCATAATTTGCCATTTGATTATTTATTTGTTGGGGGACTACGGCCATCTTGAGCTACTTATGACTCATAACGCCTTGGGAAAGTAATAGGCTAGGTCTTATTTTAGAAGACAGGAGTTAAAAAGCTTTCAGTAAATATGTGCATCTCGAGTATAGACATGTTCCACAAGTTTGCGTGAAGGTCCTGCGTGTCACCTGTTCTGAGATGTGTCTGACTTCTGCCTCACTCTGAAAGTGGAAAGGAAGTGAAGGAAACAGAAGTCCTGGTAATATACCAACCCCTACCTGTGACAGTCTATTCTGTGGCCAATTGTCGATACCAAGGCCGAAAGAGCTATTACGAGACCTGATAAACTAGTTTCATCATATATTATGTAAAATATGTATCTTGCCGCCTTTTCAACCATGTCTTTATCGTTACCCATTTTCCCCCTTTTAGATTTCTCGAGAAATCTCCGAGAAATACAAGAACAGGCCGATGAATATTATGGGTGAAATAAACACTATTTAGAAACAGGCTGTTTATTTAATGTTTACTGTGTTGTCGTTTTTGGTCCATGGGAGGGGGAAACAGTTGTCGGTGTTAAAATTAAAGTTAAATTTGATACAACTACAGCAGTGTCGAAAAAACGCTCAAAATAATTTTGTCATTCATTTCGTTAAATTCGCGGTATTTCTAGGTCGCCCAGTTTCTTACGTCCAGGGAATGGCTGCGAAGGAGACTGAAAGTAACCCATCTTCTCGCTAGTTATTTCGCTGGGACACTACAGAAGTCTCAACACTACAATCAGAATTCTGACAAAACAACAACAAAACAACTATCAATGGCGAATAAAAATCAGTTTATTGACTAAAATCAACTGTGGTTATCAACATGTTATCATAGTGACTTAAATTAAGGTTATGAGCAAGTACTATTCTGTCAACACTAAATCTGAGAGATCCTTTCTATAACTCCTACAAAGCAATTTTCTAAGTTTTTTTACATGAAAATTTTCAAAACATTTAATTTCTAGTCGTTATCAAACACAAACGTCCTTTCTCTGTGTGCCAATTATAGCATTCTCTTCCACTTTAGTGAAAGAGCACAAGAGCCTTCTGAAAAACTATTCTAAATGTTGATATAAAAATAACAATCTAACAACTAAAAAAGATTTTGCATAAAATTGAACGTGCCATCACCTTGGTATATATAACTGCTCTTGTACCGTGCATTATGGAAAAGGAAACAGATCTCTAATTATTCATCCTGACCACTGAGACGATGACAGAGTCTCATTTTAGAACGCCGCAAACTCAAACTCGGTTATCTCGAACGTATTTCATGTATTTCAGTCATCTCTGTCTGTAAAATATGTCCTTCGTTATCCTCTCCCCCCCCCCTTATACTTCAGAGAACACAGCATCGATCATGGTCACATCTACAAGCTGGCATCAACCCTGTGCCGGTTTTTCATTTTGCAGGAAACTGTTAGAAGGTGAAGGAGAACGTTTTCCAATGGACTGGGGATCGTAACATCAAATTCAACACTTCACAAATGGGAGATTCTGGTGATAGTACCCAAGGACGCCATACGTAACACAAACCAAACCCTTATTTTTAAGGATAATTTACAACCAGCGCAAATGGCAGAGGAAATTCAGTCGGCCCAAAGGGCGGAAAAACTAAAAAAATGGGCCTAACTGGTCATACAAAAATTTAAAATTGAGTTTAGTTTTGAGCTTATCAAGGGAAAAAATGATTTCATAATAAACTTTCACAGTCAATTGAAAACCATTTTTAGATCTACCCACACCCTAATAAGCCCCCTACCCCAATAGGCGCTACCCCCTAGCCCATAATATCAAACAAGCATTTTTTCTCACTTTGTCAAACAGTTTGGATACGAGGAAAACCTGTATTTATTTCCATTTATATATAGTTTCTTAGTGAGCGCCCCCTCCCTCCCCCGCTTTTAAATAAGAGCCCGGGTGCTTATTCGAGGAAATATGGTGATTGAAATGCACAAGAATATGAAGAACTGACCCACAACTTTTTTGTGTGCACGTTAACAAAAGTTGCTATGGGCTCTTCACTGGAGAAATGTAATGTTTACCCAACCATGACCGACGCTATTACGGCAACATTCATTTTGTTGATTTGTTCCATTGTTAAAAGATCCTCCCCCTCCCCCACAGGAAATATCCTCATTAACCCCGCCACTTCCCCCAGTGTAACCACCACCACCGCCCGGTCCCTTGTTGAATGTACGTAAACCACCGCCACCTCCGAACCCACCAGAAAACTTTCCACCCTCTCCCCCCTGAAGATATCCTGAACCTCCTTTTCCCCCTCTTTTACTAGAGCTCGTTCCATTATGTCCATTACTATGGAAGCCGCCACCACCACCACCTGCAATACAATCAAAAAGTGATCGGTGATTCTCTTACAAATAGCACCCATAAATTTAATTTCTCGCGATCAAACGACGATCCGCAGTGTTCCGAAACTTAGTTTAGTTCTTTATTTTTAAAGTTTAATTAGTGGAGATTGTTAGGAACAAAAAAGCTCACGAGGAAAAGTCAGCGCAAAAATGCTGCAATTAACTTTTTAGTTGGTGCTTCTGTTTAATCCAGATCTGCAGTTAACGAATGAGAAGCCTTGTCAAGTTTTTCGATGTCATCTCCTGCGTTATATTTGCAGATCCATAATTCATTCGATAATTCACTAAATATGCAGGAGATTTGAAAAGAAAAGAACAAAATTTAACAGAATCCTAAGTCTTGTATGAGGCGCTTCAAAAGAATCATATAAAAAAATCTTCAAAATTGATATTGAAAAAATTTAATAATTACGGTTTTTATAAATGCTTCAAAATCTGATTATCAGCGACTTACTCTATCATTGGGTTGGAGATAGTGAAGGATGGCAATAGAATGCAACAAATTTCTCAGTATTTATAAAAAGGAAATTCTCCACCAACCAGAATTCACACCATTAGTAAGTCCTCCTTGTCCTTCTCTTCCCCCTGATCCCAGTGGCCAGTTGTTCCCTGCATTTGCAGTGGTGTTTTGGGACGCATCACATCCCGGATGTTGTTCTGACATATTTTTGATTCCCCCTCCACCTCCAGCTATGATTAAAGGCGTGTTGCTTCGTCTCACAACAAATGTACCTCCACCACCTCCAGCAGTTTTTAAGTTGGTCCTTCCTTCTGTTCCTTTTTGACCAACAAGTATATGAATGATCTCATCTTTGGTCAAAATAAAGTTTCCAATCATTCGTGCCCCTCTTCCACCGTTCTTGATGATACTGTCCTCACCGTACCCCCCTGAGGCTCCTATTGCTTCTATTCTGTATTCGCCAGTGTGTGGCACAGTCCATTGTTGAATACCGCTGGACAATGTAACTTGCCCGTCGTGATCCTGACCTGCGTAGTGACTTCCAATTTGGACTGGACCCGTAGTTCCACTCTTACCAAGAGTTGTAAACACTGCTGTAAATCCTGTATAATAATCGCAAAATGAAAGGGAAAGTTATGGTACTGCTAAGAAATTGTCAAATTGTTTTGGGTACTGCCAATATTGCACACTACCGCTTAAAAAAAAATATTCCTGTAAATTCGGCAGAATAAGATAACGAAGCAAAAATCTCCAGAAAATCTCACTAACAAGTAAAACTGACTAAGTTGATCATTTCTTCATAACGGTATCTTCGCACTGGTTCTGGTAATGAACATAGAATCTACTTTCAACCGGAAAATATGCTGTCACTCTTGCTGGTAACTCCTTGGAAACTGGTAAATTTACCAAGCTGCATAGCTTTCAACGCCGCAAAATGCAAATTCGTTCACATCTTTAAGAAGAAAACTCCTGGTTGACCTTGATGGACATCGCTCGAGTGTGTACCTTACGCTTAAGACATAAGCATCACTGATTCCCGTGATCTCCAATGGGCAGAGCATGCAGGAGAAATAACCTCAAAGGCCAACAAAACCTTTCGTGAATCAGGCGAGTTTTCCGCGATGTCAATGACGTTTAGATAAGGAAGCTGCTGTGCTGTCCTGTGGTCAGACCCAAACTTAAATAATACTCCTGCCTATGGTCTCTTTATTATACAGTCATACATGGAGCATTAATTGAGAAAATCCAAAGGTCTCTGACTAAGTTTATTCTTAATTACCCACTGAATAACGTCTCTTATGCTGATGGGCTCGTTCTGCTGGGCCTGCTGCCGGTAGAATACCGTACAGAAATTAGGGACATTACACTCTTGTACAAGTTTAAGTCTGGTGCTATGTCCACCAGAAAAATATGGAGAGATAAGATAGAATGATATGTTATAAACAGTTACCTGTGCATTTGGTTCCATTTCCACGAAATCCATCTTTACACTTGCAGTTGTACGATCCCAGGGTATTGTTACACTCAGCATTCACATCACAGTTGTGTGTTCCGTCAGCACATTCGTCCAAGTCTAGAGAATCAAAAAAGAAGCATCTTTTGTACGGAACCTGTTTTTATGTTTTTATCTCGTGTTTTGTGGTGTTGTTGTTTCCCGTTTGTTTGCTTTAATTGATTTTTGAGATCTTACAGTCAACTATTTTATTTTTGTTGTATTGTTACCATGCTCCCACCAGTACCGTGACTCCATATTCCGCATATAAACAGACACAACTCATTCGCTATGACGAAGGACTAACGCTCGAAACTTTAGATTTTAAACTCACAACAGTGGCCTATTTTACGTTATCAACTCACTTGATGATACCAAATTACCTTTGCAGCTTGTCCCATTTCCACGAAATCCATCTTTACACGTGCAGTTGTACGATCCCAGGGTATTGTTACACTCAGCATTCACATCACAGTTGTGTGTTCCGTCAGCACATTCGTCCAAGTCTAGAGAATTAAAAAAGAAGCATCTTTTGTACGGAACCTGTTTTTATTTTGTTATCTCGTGTTTTGTGGTTTTATTGTTTTCTCGTTTGTTTGCTTTAGTAGATTTTTGGGATGTTATAGTCAGCTACTTTATTCTAATTTTCTCGTTACCATGTTCCCGTCAATAGCGTAACTCCATATTCCGCATATAAACAGACACACAACCCACAATTCCCCCATTTGCTCTGACGAAGGACTAGCGCTCGAAACTTCAGATTTTAAACTCGCAACAGTGGCCTATTTTACGTCATCAACTCACTTGATACAACTAAATTACCTTTGCAGTTAGTTCCATTTCCATGAAATCCATCTTTACAGATGCACTTGTAAGATCCCAGGGTATTGTTACACTCCGCATTCTCATCACAGCCGTTTGTTTCACTAGAACACTCATCTATGTCTGAGACAACAAAATGAGCGCCACATTTATATAAGGGTTTGTGTGTATTTGACGTGCTCTGGCCGCAAGTGTTTTCGCCTCCATGCTAACGTTCCCCGTTGTCAGATAAGAAATGGCCACACATTTATTTTACTGACTACAAAAAAATTTAGAGGATTCCTCACCTTTATCACAATCGTGGCCTTCAAATCCAGATCCAAAAGCACACAAACACTGATAATCTCTGTGTGTAAAGCCAGCTTGGCATGTTGCATTATTTCTGCAAGGATTACTGGCGCAAGCATTCTTAAGAAGAAAAAGAATATGACCACTTCAATTTTTGTGCTTGTCTTCTGCGCGTGTATTCATGTTTGCGAGTTCTGAATGTTATGCATGTTTGTGAAATCTGCGCGTCTTCCCTGATGTCCATGTATTTCGCGCAAGCTTTTTTGTTATTTACGCAAATGTTTGTGTTGAGCACATTTGTTCCCGTTCCAAGCGTGGCACTGTTCAGAGCGAGAGCAAAATCTGCGTGTATCTTATAAATGTATAAAAACAGCTCCAGAAGCGGTCATTCTTAAATAACAAAGTATGCCTCTCTTAATTCTTTATTTCAACATTTTAAACGTTCAATTATCGTAACCTATATTCTGGTGGGTGGAAGGAGAATTTAGAGGAGTGGCAGAGGCTGAGGGATGCTTAGTCTTAGTCTTGTAAAAAAGCCTCAACGAGTATAAAGTCTCATACTCTTGGCTTAAAAACGTCATCCTCACCTCAGCTCCGCGGTAAATGTAACTTTCGTTTTTTACCAGTTCTCCATCGTGTTCAATGGTCGCGTTATTCAGATCACACTTGTGTGTTCCAGACGCCTGTCTTAGCTTATGGAAGTTATAACTGACACAGTTAGGTTCCAGATAGCATTGTAACTGGCAGAGATCCTCGTCGAATACTTCAATAGTTCGAACCGTGTGATTCTCCAACCTGTAGCCAGGTTTAGGAAAACTGGTAAACTTCAAATTGCGGCAGTTGCCTGGTGAACAATTATATTAAGAAAGTTGCTATGTCACATTGAGCCCCTCTGCTGAGACTGGAATTGTAGAGCAGTGTTACTGCTGAGTTTTTGCTTTGGTTTAGCACCAAGAGAGTGATTTATATTAATAATCTGACCTATCATGTTATCTTCCTTTGGTTGTGATCAGCTATCGTGATCGAACGATTGTTGCCGAAATCCATAAACACCTTTGTTGTTACATAGAGTGAATCGTGTTTATCACGTGATAATGGTCCTCTCCTCTGAGCATGTTTGGTTCTTTAAAAAAAGGGTTATTATCGGAACGTGTCGTGAAGTTTTTATTGTGTCAATTCATGAGAAGCGGTTGTTGTTATGTCGCGTGACTTCAGCTTTCGACCAAACTGCGTATTAATTATGAAAAGCGCGAGAAGACAAAATTGGTCGTTCACGCAAAACTCATGAGCTTCTTAACTTTATCAACTCCATGGTACGCAATTTAGGTCCTGGCTTTCTACTTCTAAGGATGTAACAAAAGTTTTCACTGCATATTGTACATTAACGATCACTACAAGGCGAAACGCTGAAATTTATTTTTGAGCATGCACACCATAAGGGTATAATTGCGTACGGTGAGGAAAAAATCCTTAACGGTCAATTGTCGTCTTTGTTAATCAAATCTTTTGTTTGAACCACCTGTTTTTGCCTCAAGCTAAGTAAGAATTTCCTTTCTGCGGTGGATCATAAATAACTTATGCCATAGTTCTACCAACTCGCTCGAATACACGAATTCAGTCCTCGATTTAGGTGTTTTGAAATATCAACCAACATGTAGATCAACTTTGGAGCCAGATTGCAAATCGTGCGTTATGTTGCTCGCTGTGACGAACTAAAAGGTTTCTTTACCAAGAATTAAAAAGCTTTACTCTTGTGTAAAGTTTTAAGTTTAACAAGAGAAGCCATTTTGGTTGAGTTTAGATGAGCCTTTCAACTCATCCATCTTGCATGATCAAAAAAGTCGAACACGTCTCTAGACTTCAATTCATTGAAGAGACAGTGACTGTTTTTCTTTTCTAAAGTTAACTTTGCTTTAAGATACTCCAATAAGCGCCCCTCCTTTTTTAATTTAGATGAAATAATTAATTATATTTGATATTAGTAGGAGAAGCTTATGCGATTACTTTAAGATTCAGTTGTTGTAAACAAAAAAATATATGAAATGAAAAAATAATTTATCGCCTTGGTAAACTTTGAAATATACTCAAACCATAACAAAGTCCTAACTGTGGTAAAATCTTACCTCGTCCTTTCGGTATTAGGGAGGCCAAAACAATGAGAACGAAGTAGTAGAGTACAGAGAGCATGTTCTCAGAAAACACCAGTTATAACTCTAGCGAACAGCCACAGTGAGTTTTTCAAACATGAGGGAAACATCACGCAAAATATGACAGCTCAAGTTTGATCTCCGTTCAAATACTCCACTCCTTTATTATTTATGAGGTTCTCAGTTGTTTTCGTACTTGAATTAGTTACTTTGGGATTTAGTTGGTTGATGAAACTCGATTATAAATAATGCACGTAAATTGCAAAGCATGTATTAGGAAATTGGACCTATGCCAATCGACGAAGCGAACAATTAGCCATATGGATCTTTGAGGAAGAGTTTCTTTTAACATAATCACCCGCAACCATCTCAGCCAATATTACAGTGTGCTTCCGTTCTGGAAAAGAGTCACTCGTGATGAATGATTGACATTTTTTGAAAGTGTGTGTCAATTATTTTAAGATCTTGTGACTGCTCCGTTCAATTAGAAATTGTGTTGGAAATCCTTGAACCATAAATTTTAGAAGTGAAAGAAATCGGAGAGGTGAGTGTCTGAGAATCAATCGATGGCTTTAAAACATTTGAACAATTGATCAATGACTCTTACCACACTAACTGAGTTCGAAGAGCGCTCGCTTAAAACTGGTGCTCAGGCTCTTTTTCCTTGTCATTATCCGTCATCTTTTAAGCGGATTACCGTTGTTCTTTCTGTCCCAGATGCCCGTGCAATAAGCAATCTGCTTCATGCGAAAAAAAAAGACGTTAGGTGCGATTGAGTCGGGCCAAAGAGCAGAATTAAGAGGGTGGAAAAAAGTATTTGCGTGACGCGTGATGGCTCCAAAATTTGCAGTGTGACGCGTGATTGAACCCAATTATCAGCGTGACGCGCAACCGGACAACACAACGTGATGCGTGATTTGCTATTTTGCAAGCGCATGATGCGTGATTTACAAGACTTCTTATTAGAATTCCGTGATAAGTGAACGCCCCTTAACCTAAAAGGATACCAATCATCAAAAGTAAATAGGGTCATAACGATGATCAATAAAACGTGGCATCCGTGTCATTGTTTTCTGGTCTTTTCCGTTCTTTCCAAATTAGCAAAGTTCATACTAGTTCTCGCGGGATAACTAGTTAGCCATATATGAGCTCAAACTATGATGAATATAGGATGCTCATACGAGTAAACGCTCTCAGAGCGTCTAGTTTCCACAAGTAAGTCGTTTTTATTTGTCAAACAAAAAGCAATATGACAAGTGAAATGCAATTCATTCCAGGGCAAAAAACGGTAGATGCAAGATAATTTTTGATAGTACATCCGATAGGTTGAAATCTTACATTATAAGCTTAGCGTACTTACTCTTTTTTAAGTGATGCGTGATTGGGTTAAAAAAATTCTCCGTGATGTGGTGTGATTGAAACCCGCCTTTGCCACCCTCAATTTAGGGATACTGGGTCTGACTGATCGTATGAAAATTGAAAATCCGACGTTAGTTTTACTCTAATCGACAAAAACGAAAAAGCGATTGAATGATAAACCCTCATAGTCAATTGAAAACCATTTTTTAACATGTAAGACTTGGGATACACAATATTTTAGATCCTTTCATTTTATTTAATGATTGATTGTCAGTGGATAATAACCCTAAAATATCTCGGTAGCTGTTTTTCACATTATGTCAACCTATAAGCGAAAGCAATTTGTGTCTAAAATACCCCTCACCCTAAGAAAACTTAACGCTCACAAAAACGGGATCTTTACCACACAGCTTTCAAAGTTACATTACACCAAAGCACCTAAATTCTTATAACCACAAGATCGCATGTGATAAAATATACTTGTCTTGATGTAATTGTCAGTTTATTTGGGCTACAGCGTAAAAAGGTAAGTTGCTTTCTGAATCAGATGTTCGGAATTCCGAGCCAAATTTCCAGGATCCACTCTTAAATATTGCAATATGATGACGACATTTGGTAACATTCAAGTATTCTTGCTCTTATATAATTTGCTGAAAATTACACATGACCACCGTCAAGGTCACAGATTTTTCTGAGTCGTAAAGTTTTTTTAATGCATCTGCAAAGCTCCTACGATAAGGCAGCTATCTTATTGCCACCGTTCTCTATTTATTGCGAGCAAGCGTTTGTGTATTTTAATTTATAACTTATGGTCCTTTCTGTTTTCAGATACCTGGACCACTTAGCTGATTCTCTTCTGCAAAAACTTTAAGTCTCAGAAAAATTAGTAACGTCCATTAAAGTGATGGCTGATAAACGACAGGCGGCCACCATAGAACAGAGAGACTTGAAACCTAAACTTGAAATTATCAGAATTAAAACGTGCGTGCGCTAACGTTAACCCTTCGAAAGTCATAATTTGTCATTTGATTATTTGTTTGTTGCAGGACTACGGCCATCATGAGCTACTTATGACACATAACGCCTTGGGAAAGTAATAGGCCAGGTCTTATTTCAGAAGACAGGAGTTAAAAAGCTTTTAGTAAATATATGCATCTCGAGTATAGACATGTTCCACAAGTTTGCGTGAAGGTCCTGCGTGTCACCTGTTCTGAGATGTGTCTGACTTCTACCTCACTCTGAAAGTTGAAAGGAAGTGAAGGAAACAGAAGTCCTGGTAATATACCAACCCCTACCTGTGACAGTCTATTCTGTGGCCAATTGTCGATACCAAGGCCGAAAGAGCCATTACGAGACCTGATAAACTAGCTTCATCATATATTATGTAAAATATGTATCTTGCCGCCTTTTCAACCACGTCTCTATCGTTATCCATTTCCCACTTTCAGATTTCTCAGGAAATCTCCAAGAAATACAAGAACAGGTCGGTGAATATTATGAGTGAAATAAACAATATCAAGAACAGGCTGTTTATTTCATGTTTACTGTGTTGTCGTTTTTGGCCCATGGGAGGGGGAAACAGTTGTCGCTTGTTATTGTGCCCTTTTGAAGATAGCCAATTGCAAAGGAATTTCGCTGGGACACTACAGAAGTCTCAACACTATAATCAGAGTTCTTACAAGACAACAACAAAACAACTATCAATGGCGAAAAAAAATCAGCTTATTGATTAAAATCAACAGTGGTTATCAACATGTTACCATGGTGACTTAAATTAAGGTTATGAGCAAGTACTATTCTGTCAACACTAAAAACTGAGAGATCCTTTCTATAACTCTTGCAAAGCAAAGTAAGATTTTTTACATGAAATTTTCAAAACATTTAATTTCTAGTCGTTATCAAGCACAAACGTCCCTTCTCAGTGTGCCAATTACAGCATTCTCTTCCACTTTAGTGAAAGAGCACAAGGGCCTTCTGAAAAAATGTTGACATAAAAACAACATTCTAACAACTAAGTAAGACTTTGCGTAAAATTGAACGCGCCATCACCTTGGTATATATAACTGCTCGTGTACCCAGCATTATGGAAAAGGAAACAGATCTGGAATTATTCACCCTGACCACTGAAACGATGACGAGTCTCGTTTTAGAACGCCGCAAACTCAAACTCGGTTAACTCGAGCGTATTTCATGTATTTCAGTCATCTCTATCTGTAGAACTCAACATTAATCATGGTCACATCTACAAGTTGGTATCAACCCTGCGCCGGTTTTCCATTTTCCAGGAAACCGTTGGAGGTGAGGGAGAACGTTTTCCAATTGATTGGGAATCGTAATACTAAATTTAACATTTTGGGGGATTCTAGTGGTAGTAACCAAGTTCACCATACGTAACACAAACCAAACCCCTATTTTTGAGGATAATTTACAACCAGCGCAAATGGTAGAGGAAATTCAGTCGGCCCAAAGGGCGGAAAAACAAAGAAAATGGGCCTAACTGGTCGTATGAAAATTGAAAATTGACTTTAGTTTTGAGCTGATCAAGGAAAGACAAAGGGATTTCATAATAATTTCATAATGTTTCTATTTCGTATGTAACTTTTTAAGCCTCTGCTAGAATAGGTTCTTAATAAGCGCCCCCTTTCAGTAAGCGCCCCACTCTCCCGCCTCCAGGCTTAAATTTTAAATAAGAGCCCGAGTGCTTATTCGAGGAAATATGGGGATTGAAATACACAAAAATATGAAGAACTGACTCACAACTTTTTTTGTGCACGATAACAACAGTTGCTATGTGCTCTTCATTGGACAAATGTTATATTTACCCAACCAGGACAAGCGCTATTATAGCAACATTCATTTTGTTGATTTGTTCCATCGTTAAAAGATCCCCCCTCCCTCACAGGAAATATCATCATTAGCCCCGCCACTTCCCTCAGTGTAACCACCACCACCGCCGGGTCCTCTGTTCAATGTACGTAAACCACCGCCAGCTCCGAACCCACTAGAAAACTTTCTACCCTCTCCTCCCTGAAGATATCCTGAACCCCCTTTTTCCCCCTAAACGACTGAAATTCCCAGCATCATTTCGATTACGATGGAAGCCGCCACCACCACCACCTACAGTACGATCAAAAAGTGATCAGTGATTCTCTTACAAATAGCACCCATAAATTTAATTTCTTACCATCAAACGACGATCCGCAGTGTTCCGAAACTTACTTAAGCTATTGCTCTTTGGAGTTTAATTAGTGGAGATTGTTGGTAACAAAAAAGCTTATGAGGAGAAGTCAGCGTAAAAACGCTGCAGTTGACTCTTTATTTAGTGCTTCTGTTTAATCCAGATCCGCAATTAACGAATGAGAAGCCTAGTCAAGTTTTTCGATGTCATCTCCTGCGGTATATTCGCGGATCAATGTCGAGAATTCACTAAATATATAGGAAATTTGAAAAGAAAAGAGCAAAATTTAACAGAATCTTTTAAGTCTTGTATGAGGTGCTAGCTTCCAAAAGAACCATCAAAGAAATTCTTCAAAATTAACATCAAGAAATTTGATGATTACGGTTTTCATAAATCCCTCAAAATCTGATTATCAGCGACTTACTCTTAATCAATTGGGTAGGAGATATCCAGCTATGATTAAAGGCGTGTTGTTTCGTCTCACAACAAATGTACCTCCACCACCTCCAGCAGTTTTAAAGTTTTTACACTTTTACACTTTTTTCCCTTCTTGACCAACAAGTATATGAATGATCTCATCTTTGGTCAAAATAAAGTTTCCAA